AAAAAAAAAAAAAAAAAAAAACTAAGAACTATAAGTTTACAAGAGATTTCTAGTGAAGAAAGCGGTGGTTCAAAGTTGTAATGGTTTCAGGTTGTGAAGCGTATCATTTGTCATTTAATAGTAACTAGCTATTCCATACAAGGAAACAAACTTTAGTCAAGTGAATTTCTGTTTGACAAGTCACCATCAAATAACCATTTTGCATTTCTTGTAGCCCACCCATAATTAAGTACTGATGCCATGCATTTCTACAACTTGATCATGTCTCCAGCTAATTAAGTGCATGTAGCACATTGGTAATTATTCGAGCAAAAAGTTTTCAAGTATTACACTCAAAAAAAAATTGATCACTATTACATGCTTTTCATTTGTCGTGTCAAAACCGAAAAATACACACGTTGGAAAGAAAAAAAAAAAAAAGTTGTAGAGAATGAGCCAGGTGTCACATACTTAATGTATGCAATTGAACAAACACTTTTGTTGAAAAAAAAAAATAAATAAATAAAAAATAAAATAAAATAAAATAAAATACTTTACAGAGAATGAGTTAAGTGTCACATTACACATGCAGATAACTATGTGACCAGTTTTCAACAAATATATAGAGAGAGGGAGTTAATAGTCATTGAACAACAGATTGTCATATGCATCTCGATCAGCAATAAGATATTAATGTGATATTTAAACATTTCTTGTTAGTTAAAGAATCAAAGTTAATAGTAAATGTAAAAGTCGTTCAATATTCATGTTTCTGTATTGGGGAGACGTTCAAGCCCAACATTTGAAGAATTTTTTTTTCATTGGTTCTTCTACGAGCAATTAGCTTGCCACATCAAGTGATTCCTGATGAAGTAGCTGCTACATGTTGAGTGGCTCCACATTATCTCTCTCCTGATTCTTACGAATTTATTTAGTAGGTTCCAGCGTGAATTAAGCTGGGTTATGATATCACTCATCCATGAATTATCAACTATTACACTAGTCTGAGGATCGTCTTCAGTAAGTAAACACAAACATTTTAAATTCAACAGAAAAAAATAATGCAAAACATAATTCCATAAGTTTATCTGGACATAAAACAAAGACGACCTGCAGTTTGATGGTGATGCCTCGTTCTCTCTCCAAGTCCATATTATCAAGAAACTGCTCCTTCATCTCTCTGCTTTCAACTGTGCCAGTCATCTGTAGCAATTTATCTGCCAGTGTGGATTTCCCATGATCAATATGTGCTATAATGCTGAAGTTCCTTATATTTGACGATGGCACCTACAATGTCAATAGACAAACTAGACCTCAGTCCATGAGTAGGGCTCCTTTTTTATGCGAAATTTCATTTATCTGCTTATTTAAAACTTTAATTCACCTTTAAAAAAAAAA